GGGGGGGGGGGGCACTCGCCACTCGGAGCTGAGCCCTCCACCCCTCTCCTGGGGCCTCAGTTTCCCCGTAATTCCTCTCAACAGAGCTGCTGTGTTTGAGATAATACAAAACAACAACAACAACAAATGTGGGCTTTACACCAGTGCCTTTGTCTCCTCATCTCTAAAATGGAGATAACATCATAAGGTAGTTATGAGCATGTTAAAATGCTTAAGGCAGGTCCTGGCCCATTGGAAAGGCACAATAAACGTTAGTTCTTTTATTAACGCTATCTTACAGACCCGGGTGCAAATTCTATCTCCACCACTTACTAGCTGTGCAGTTTCCTGCAAAACCATTTCTCTTCTCTGAGCCTCAGTCTGCTCATCCGTAAAATGGGGGAACAGCTCCCTGTGCTGTCTTCCTACCAGGGATCTCCTCAGAATCACATAAGATAGAGCAGGGAAGGAGTCCCTTTCACTCCCTCACCCCATTCTCCCCCACCTCTGCACCTGCACACAACAGGGGCTCAATGAATAATTGTCATATGAATGAACAAATGAAAGATAAAGGTGATTTGTAATTTGTAAAATGCTATAACAATACCATTTATCCTTTGCTAACAGCTTGCCTCTGGTTCAGGCATTGTGCTTGCTGCTGTAAACACACTACAGTGGTCCCCCCTTATGGAAGGGGGGATAGTTCCAAGACCCTCAGTGGATGCCTGAAACCATGGATAGTATCCATCTCTATATATACCATGTTTTTTCCTATACATACATACCTATGATAAAGTTTAATTTATAAATTAGGTACAGTAAGAGATTAATAATAACTAATAATAAAATAGAACAATTATAACAATACACTGTAATAAAAGTTACAATATCTTAGCAACCTCAGCACATGATTTTTTTTCTTCCCTTATTAAGTTGAGAACTTTCGCCTTTTCACTTAGAGGAAATGCTTTACAGCTTCTCCTTGTCATATCCGAATTGCCAGCATCACTACTCTTGAGCTTTCAGGCCATTGTTAAGTAGAATAAGGGTTACCTGAACACAAGCACTGCGATACCTCGACAGTCGATCTGATAACCATTGCTATTAAGTTGCTACTAAGCAACTGAGGGGCAGGTAACACAGACAGCATATCCACAAAGATGGATAGACAAAGGGATGATTCATGTCCTGGGCTGGACAAAGCGGGAGGGCGCAAGATTTCACCACATTACTCAGAATGGCACGGGATTTAAAATTTATGAATTGTTTATTTCTGGAGTTTTCCATTTAATATTTTTGGATTGAGGTTAACCAAAACCATGGAAAGTGAAACTACAGATAAGGGTGGACTATGGTATTCCTAATCTTCCCAATAATGGATGTAATGATGATGATGATTTTGCAAATGAGGATATTGGGGCTGAAGAGGTAGAGTGACTTGCCTCAGGTCGTCCATCTAGGAAGGGGCAGAGCTGGAATTCTAACCAAAATTGGTAGGACTACAAAGCTAATTCTATTATCACCCTATCTGCATCATAATTGTTACATTATTATTTTTAATGTTATCATTGCTGCCCAAGGCCACAGCAAGTTGGCAGGCCTATAGTCTGTCTCATTTAAAACTATACCCTCCCTCCACGACACCAGAGCAATTTGGGGAAATACCTTCTTTCCTTGGTCAAAGCCCTCTGCCCAACTAAAGATCTTGGCAGATCCCCCTCTTCTGTACAAGTCCCCTCTTAGGATGGAATTTTTACCCTAGATTGAAACCATTTCATGGCCTCTCTGCATATCACAGGTAGAAGAGTTCACAGGTCATCTTGTTCAACTGCCTCCTTTTACAGATTGGGAGACCAAGGCCCATGGAGGCGAGGTGACAAGATCACACAGAGCATAGAACCTAGGTTTCCTGCCTCCCAGTGCAGAATTGTCTTCACTCTCTCAGGTTCCCTCTGTCTTAAAGTACCAAGGAGGGAGCCTCCAAGCCGAGGCGAATGGAGGGACATTTGGGGCACAGAGAGGGTCCTCCTCCAATTTGCTGTGTGGCCAGGGACAAGTTACTGATCCCTCTCCAGAGCCCCAATTTCAGCAGCTGGGAAATGAGGTTGAGAAAATGGGTGGTCAAGGATCCCTGTGATCTGTACTTCCCTATTCTCCAGGCCCCTGGCACTCCCACCCCCATCCCCACTCACATATTCCTGGAGCAGCTGCTCAGCATATTTGGTGAGGAGGCCGGCAAGGCTGTGTGTCTGACGGATCTTGGCCTCCAAGTGGGTAAGGGATGAGACTGAGGAGTCAGTCTGGGGGTCTTCTGGTGGGAAAAGGGGGAAGAATGAGGGCAGTCCAAATCCCTGCTCCTTGACCACCTCTTCCAGGCTGGCTCTCCCTTCCCAAACCCAGAAGCTCTGCTCTGAATACTCCAACTTTTAAGCCAGGCAGGCTCTGGCCCATTCCAACTGAGGGAAAATAAGGTACTAGATATTTGCCAAACAGTTGTTCTACCTGAAATGTATTCCCTGTCCCCAAATCACTGTTGAAATCCTATTAAAGCCAAATCCAAATACTGCCTCCTCAGCACAGACTCCAGATTCAACCCACCCTTAAATTAACTTCTTCCTTCTACTTAAGGCCATTTGTTCACACTTCCGAAGTTGTTCTTTTAATGGCTCTTTTATCTGTGTGAATCTGCCTCAGCCTGGCAGCCCTTTAAGGGTAGCTCTGTAGCTCAGTGATTGTTGGTGGAATTCAAGTCAGAATGCGCCTTCAAGGCCATTTTACAGATTGGGAGACTGAAGTCTCATTCCCTCCCTGATGGCTCTTCTGTGCAAGGCGCTGGGCTGGGCACCGGGCAGCGTCAATGAATCAACAACTGGCCTTCCCTAGCACAAGCTACGTGTTGGCGGGGAGGACTACATTTCCCGAGAAGCCCAGCGCGCGAGCCCAGGGCATGCTGGGGAATGTAGTTCTGGCCTGGCAACTCCCGCCCCGCCCCCCGCCCCCACCTGAGTTTCCCACCGCCAGTCCCTATCCTTAACAGCCTCGACTTTCGTCTCCTGTTGTTATTCACTAGCTCCTGGGGCCCAAAGACTTCCTCCCCTAACCCTACCCCTCCCTCTAGCCCCCAGCTCCGATTCTTTCCCAATACTCGGAGAAGAGCCAGGCGTCCTGCCCCAGCCACGACCCCAGTCCTCCCCCAGGGTGTACTCGAACCGGTGATCTAACTCCTGAGCCCAACTCCCTGAAGGCACAGCCCCAGGCCTCCTCTACCTCTAAACTCTGGCGCTTGCCCTTTCCCACAGCTCACCCACAGCTCATCTGCTCGTTACCTGACACCGGGGCCTTGCTCTCCCCCGCTCAGGCTGCTCCCTTCCCGGACCCGGGGGTGGCGGGGACCCAGACCCCAGCTTCCGGCCCTTCTGACCTTTGTTCCCCTCGGGAACTTGGCACCTGGCCCGTCAGCCCCTTACCCAGACTTCCCTCCCTCCGGCTCATGCTGGCCCCTGGCTGATCCCGGTTGCCTCCACGCCCCCGGTCCGAGGGGGGAGAAGGGGAAAAGGGGTAGGGGCGTGGCCCGGACGCAGCCAATCAGGGCTCAGACCCCAAACAATCCCCCTCCCCCGCCAAAGCCTTAGACAGGATTCCTTGGCCCTGAGCTCAGCTCCTTGCCTGCGCGGCCCAGTTGGGAAAGGGGCCTGAGAAGGGCGGCAGGTTGTCCGCATGGTTGACTCGGGACCTCGAGGCTGGGGGTGCCGGGACCTGGGAGGCAGACCTGCGTCACGCCGGGAGGAGGAGGCTCAGGCTCCGACCTGGGGCAAAGGTTGGCCCCCGGGCTGCTTATGGGAAAAAGCTGAGGGGATAGGAGAGGGCGGGGCTGGCAGGACAGGAATGTGCTGGCCCTTCCTCTTGGCTGGGGGGGAGGGAGGAACGGGGTGTGAGAGAGGCCACGATGGGGGCCCTCAGGCTTGGGCCACACCTGCCCCGGCATACACCTCCTGGCGTGTCTTAGATACCTTCTGCCCTCCTTCTCGTTGTCACATCTACTAGGAGGGAGACAGATACCATCTCACCTCACCTCACCCTGCCAGGCCCAGTAAGAGAACCCGTCTGACACACCCACACCTACTGAAGCATTAATGCATACAGACCTTCATTCTCACACAGGAACAAGCTTCAGAGACAGGTACAGGGGGTCATACCTGTGTGTCAACCCCACTAACCTGGTGCAAACACACTTACTTATCCCCACAGATGGTTCCCAAGCACCCACTCTGTCCTGGGCTCTGGGACCCAGAGATGATCCATACTTGGTCTCTGGCCCCCTGAGGAGCTCACTGAATGTTGGGGGAGACCATAAGCAACAGCAGGTAATGAGGTTTGTGAGTGAAGGGACTAGGAAGGAGGCCTGTGTGTCTGTGAGGATATTGCCATGAGCAGACAACTGCCAGAATAAAGTAAGAAAGAGATTAACTGGCAGAGGGCACAGCAGGTGCAACTGAAGCCAGCCTGTTGGTAGGGGCCACAATCACGCACTTATTAACAGTGACTATTTCTTGGGTATTTACAATATGCAAGGCACTGTTCTAAGAGCTATATACATATTAATTCAGTCCCATGTTATAGTTGAGGAAATAGAGATAAGTGACTTGTCCAAGGTCACTGGACAAGCAGAGCTGGGATTATACTTCGGCAGTTTGGCTCCAGAAATGCTGTCATAACCACCTTCCTATACCTTAACCCCTCTGGACATAGTCACACCAAAACACACAGACACAAGAGCTACGTAATAGCTAAACACATGCACACACAGCAACACAAACTTAGACATGTCATATCTGCTGGCAAACAGCCTCAAAATCAACCAAAATACATTTTAAGTAAACTTTTAATTGAAGTATAATATACATAGGGAAAAGCGCACACATTGTAAGTGTACAGCTCAATGTATTTTCAGAGTAAACATCCCCAGGGAATCAGCACCAGATTAAGAAACAGAATAGGACCAGTTCCCCGAGCCCCCTCTCAGCCCCTCCTAGGTTTGTGAGTGAAGGGACTCCTAGTCCCAAGGATGACCACTATCCTGACTTCTCACACCATAAATTAGTTTTGCCTTTTTTTTTGAACTTCATATGAATGGAATCATACAATGTTTACTGTTGAATCTGACTTCTTTCATGAGACTTGTCCCTGTGGTTGGGTGTAGCAGGACATCATTCTCTTGCTGTGTCCATGGTGTGAACAAGCTATAGTTCATTTTCCACTCTCCTATTGATGGGTTGTTTCCAGTTTGAGGCTAATATGAATACTGCTATGAACATTCCAGTACACTCTCTTGGTGCTCATACCTACGCATTTCTGTTGACGACCTGGGAGTGGAATTGCTAGATCATAGGGTCGGTGTATGTTCGTCTCCACTAGAAAACTACCAATTTACACTCCCCCAGAAATAGGAGAGGTCCAGTTGCTCTACTTCTTGGCCTGCACTTGATATGGTCCGTCATTCTCATTTTAGTCATTCTGGTGGGTGGAGACCCACTCATATTTGCAGTGTCTGGTACGCAATCGTCACTCAGTTAATAGTTGCAAGAATGGATGAAGGAATAGTCGGGCAGGCGGGGGTGGACACACACACACACACACACACACACACACACACACACACACACACACAGCCTTTCAAGGACACTCACGCGCAGCAGACGCGCTCCGGTACCCAGACCGTCTCGCACCCCCCACCCCCACCCCCGGCGTCCACGTGGTCTGAACGCACCGCCTCAGCCCTGCCGCTCGCGTCCACTCCTCGAGCTGCCCCCAACCTCCCTCTCGGCGGCGGGCAGGGGGCGCTGCGCGTCGGGGCGCCCCGAGGGGGCGGGCC